TCTCGTATTATTTGCTCAGCATACAGGTTGAATAAGTATGGTGAAAGAACACAACCTTGTCGCACACCTTTCCCAATTCTAAAACATTCAGTGTTCCCATGCTCAGGATGTTAATCGCAAGTGTTTATGGGAACAGGGATTGGAACCAGCCTACTTGTCCCTGACAGAGTCCGATTACATAAGTGAGTTGCGCTCACTAACTTGGAATATGACAACGCCTTGTAACACGTTGACAAGAAATACTCTAAGGGAACACTGCAATGGAAAGAAGGGTAGCTTACAGCGTACAGTGTAGTGTGCTGTAATTTTTATAAAAGAAAAATGGGCTGAAAACACACAAGAGGCTTCAAAAAGTTTGTGGAAACATAGAATGAAGAGGTAATGGAGTTTTCCCATGATCTTTCTGAAGTCTCTTTATACATACATATTTTCTCATACTTTCAAAATACACAGTGTCCCGTATTTACGCATTCTATATTCACAAATTTACTTCCTTGCTAAAATGTGTCATCCCAAAATGAATACTTGTGGTACTTTCCTGGTCATTCACAGACATGCCCAGAGTGGCAGACAACCTCAGTGACCCACAGTGTCCATTTGCAGCAGAGGTTAGACAAGGCCACGCTCTTGTCTTCTGGTTCAGCTCTCAACTGGTCATTTCCTCAATCTGTTTGCTGTCATGTTTTTCAATTTTTTGTGCTTTTTGTTGGTGAAGTCACAGTTTCAATTGATCTCCAAGCATGTGCTGAAGTGCTATCTAGTGTTTCTAAGCGCAAAGAGTGACGTGCCTTACAGCAAAAAGACGTGTGAGGTAAGCTTCATTCAGGCGTGAGTCACAGCACTGCTGGTGTGGGCTCAATGTCAATGAATCAGCAGGAAACAGAAACACACAGAAACGAAGGCAGGCAGAGACTCATAGGAACCTAACCATGTACCGGGAGGTTTCAAAAAGTTTGTGGAAAAATGCCCTCATCTTTTCTTTCCCTTTTCCCACCAACTTTGTGAAGCATCCTCGTATTTCTCCTAGGAGCAATAGCTCAGTATTTGTTGGTTTGGTGTTCCTGGCGACTTTATAGCATGAAACCACCCGGAATAATAAGACCCAGCTGCAATGAGATCATGTAAGCACGTGAGTAATGTGGGCAGCAGCTCTGGAAGAACAGAGTGGTGACAAGCAGTGGCTGACTCTGGACAAGGAAACGTGGGCCTGGGGAGGAAGGAGATAACACTTTACTGTTTGCTCCTTTGCATCACTTGGAATTTTCCCCATATGTCTGCATTTCAGCCAACTGAACACGATCCCCAAAAGAAACCCCCCAGGTTGTTGTGAACATACCCTCTGGATTTGAGGACTCTTTTCTGCGGGTGGAAGGCGGGGCCAGCAAGCTCATGGCGCTGGGCTGGTGCTCGGGTGACCGCACGATGGCAGACATCGCAATCTGCTGCCTCGTGGTAGCTGGTGTGGACGGGTGAGGGTGGTCCGTGGCTTTACGGTGGGCAGCTGCAGAGAGACCAGTACAATGCCTGGCAGTTAGCTGGCTCACCAAGAGGACTGCCCCTGGGCTGCCTTTCAAGGACCCAAGACCAAAAGGACATTGGTCACATCAAACAGGCAATGCCTAGGATGCCAGAGGTTTTTCAGCCTTGGGGATGTCTGGACTGAAAACATACGGGCCATAATTAAAGACACTGAATCTGTATGGACCAATCTCATTGAGACTGGCCCCTTGCCTTGACCACGGCCTTGAGCTTTAAGGGTGGTGAGGACCCCTACCTTCCTCTCGGGCCGACCGGAGCTCCATGCGGGTCTTCTGGAGGGCTTCCTCCAATTCAGCACAGCGAGCTTTCTCCTTCTCCAGGGCCACCTTCAGTTCATTGTACTGCAGAGGAACCTGTGTGGGCAAAGCAGGGTCCTCTTTCCGTCGACTAAATAAACCCTAGCAATGGAAACAGAGATATCTCCTAACTCCTGGAAACTGACACTTTATACTAGCTGAAGGAAATCTGACTTGGGAGGAGCGAACCACGGAAGCCAGGCGCATACTCACTGTAAGTGTATTTAGTAAAATGGCATGTGAAGGGGGAAAAGGTTAGGCTGAGCCAGAGCCCGTTCCAGCTGGCTGAAAAAAAATGAGGGATGTGGAAGTGTTCACCAAGGGGGTCAAAGCCATTCACATCGCCACCACCTCTTCCTTGGGGATTCTCAAGACCCGAGAGCATTTCCGGACAGTCTTGACCCTCAAAAAATGGAAGTGGAGGATGGAGTCAAGAGGGATGGCTCAGAAACCCCTCTTGACTTTGACTAGGACTCATGATGTATAGTTACAAGACACAGACATGAGGGTTTTTTTAAAAAGATCCAAAAAAAAAAATTTTTTTTTTAAAATATCAAAATGATGTCAAAACAAGGGGCATACTTAAAAAACATGCAAATGGAAACAGTTCATATACACGGAATATAAAAACAAAACCCAGAATAATGCAAAAAAAAAAAAAAAAAAAAAAAACCACAAACAGGAAAAACCTTAACTACATCAAATGGTAAAATAGCTGCAAAAATAAAAAAGATGAAATGTCTTAAGCACAACATGCACATACATGGTCACACAGTAAGCAAGAAAATCCTCCCCATGCAGCCCACCCTCGGAGCAGGCCTGGCCCCGAATGCTACTCTCAATCTCTGTACAGGCAAGATGGAACTGAAACTATTCAGGCCAACTACCACCCTGGGTATTCCAGAGCCTCCCTCCAAAGCCTGTCTAGTAAAAGTGCTGCCATTGCCCCACGGCACAATAACACCTTTGGGAGGAGACGGTGAGTTCCTCAGAGACCTTTCTACAACTGACAACACTTAGCCAAATCTTCTGGGAGAGGGCCACAGTGGGTTAGGAAAGCTTGCTGGGCTTACTGAAAGCAGGTACTTTATTAGGTACAGCTTGCAGTTTTGAATGCTGTTTGTCTGACCCACTATACGGGGGTGAGGCAGACACTGAGAAGGGGTCAGCTATCTAGCCTGTCACTTTAGACAGACCATTTCATTCCCTGAGCACAAGGCGCTTCATTAGCCCATCAACAGGACCACGCCAGCAGATTTCTACATTCCGTCCTGAGTCTAGTGCTCGTGAACAGAATATGCCTACGGAGTCCACAGCCAGCACCAGATAATTCCTCTAGAACCCATCTACGTGTGACCTGAGAACCCTTTGAGATCCCATGCACATGATCTGGGTATAAACTTTCTCTGCACACCACCCTCCTTCTCAACTACTTAGAGGAAAGCAGGACAACCTAAAACAGTTTGTGACAGGCCTTGATCAGTGACAGACATCCTTTGTAAAGTTTATTCTAATGATGTCAAGACCTGGTTGTCCACTGAGATCAAAATACAAAAATGTGCAAATTGTTTTCGTCTCTGTTCCCATGATCAGTGACCTTCATGAATCGAGTGAAACCCACTTTTCAAACACACAGACCCACCTTTTTCTTTTTAGCAGGCTGGTCCATTTTGGCTTGCAAAAAATCGATGAGTTTGGTTTGCTGAGAAATTGTCCCTTCCATTTTCACCTTTTCATGAGAATAGAGAACCTAGAATTCATGAAAATGAGAATAACCTCAGACCCAGAAGGAAGTATAAGAAAATAAAAAGTCACGTCATCAGGCCACTCTTGTTGCTGTTGTTGAGGGCCCATCAAGTCAGTTCTGACTCACAGTGACTCTGTGAAGAGTTTCCAAGGAGCGATGGGTAGATTTAAACTGCCAACTTTTCAGTTAGCACTCCCAGTGCTCATCCTACAGTGTCATACATCAGGACATTAGCATATGAAAAGTCAACACACACTGCACTGAGTCAATAGCTTTATTTAGTTCCATTCTTATCACATACACACACACACACACACACTCACACACGGATGTATGACTGATGGTAGAGAGAAGAAAAAAAGAAATGAAACACCAAAATTACAAATCCTGAATGGAATCCAGATCTGCTGGATTCCATTGGGGCTGGATACCCGCTTCCCCCTCAATGCAACTGTTCTGAGATCATCTTTAAACCTTACACCTCAAACCAAAACATTTTCCGGAAGTCTGCTATGAACCAAACAATTCCACCAAATTAGTAGAGTATGTCTGCCTTGAGCATTGAGCTCTTTCAAGGATTAAATCTTTAGTGATCTAAGTGTCTTCAAAAGGCGAGAAGACAAACTTAGGGGGAGTGACTTCCTATCGACAGTGGTGGAATAATTTGACAAAGGCCAACGAAAACAGTTGCAAAATGTGAAGAGTATAAATAAAACCACCAAATTGTACAGCCAGAATTTGCTTCAAAAAGTCCATGACATTTTTCTGTGACCTATTTGAAGTCCTTTCACATTTTCACACACAAAAAATTAAACATAAAAAAATGAATAAATAAAAGGAGCAAATGGTTAACTGTAAAATCTAAGTGGTAGTTACTACAGAAATCTTCCAACTTCTCAGAATGTTTGGAAATTTGTATGATAAAGTAACAGGAAATAATAGAAAGACTATTGATAGCCAATCAGTATACAACCTAAAGTCATAGACAATTTCCCCAGTTGGCGGCCAGTCATCATACGTTCATGTGACCTCTTCAGGTATGTGCTGAGCCTGCTCCCCTCGCGGGTCCCCACCTGAATGTTTTCTAGCTGATACTCCAGATCACTCCTCTCTGTCTTCAGCAGGTCAGCCCGATCAAGAGCCTCCTGCAATCCTTGAGTCAGGCGGAAAATGTGATTCTTCTGCAGGTCCATCTGCTGCTGTAATTTGGCTTGCTGGTAGAGAGAAGGATCAGATAATGGCTTCATACCTCACACAATACAACCTGTCTCCCACAGTTCCTATGCCCAAACTCTCTTCAGACATAACATTAAAATTGTGATTTTTAAAATTATCTTGCTCCAGAATGACCAACTGTCTTCTACTCCAAAATGATACATGCATGGTTAATATGAACTTGCACCAGGATCTCTGATGGACAGCAACTCACAGGACGCCATGTGTCAGAGAGAGTCCAGGCTGAGAAGGGGTCGACCTTCCTGGCCAGGCTATAATGAGGATATTTTGGTACTTGAGAGACTGAGCCATTTGAGCTGACATCTAAGGCAGTGTGGCTTCATGCCATGGCAACGTTCCCATGATTTGTCCTTACTTGTTATGGTCAGACGCCAACTGTTGTTATGGGCAATCATGTCAGACAGGCAGTGTGGAGTACACAGGTGAATTAGAACACCCTTATCAGGGTAAGGACCCCAACAAGCACACAGAGTCATTTCTACGGCACGGGAAGGATGAAAAAGGAGTATTTCAGATTTTTACAAAATAAAAAAAATTCCATTGTCATGGAGTTGATTCCAACTCACAGTGACCCAATGGATAGTGTAGAACTGCTACGTATGGTTTCCAAGACTATCAACCTTTATGGAAGCTGATAGCCTCATCTTTCATCTTTGGAGCAGCTGGTAGGATTGAACCAGCAACCCTGGGTTAATAGCTCAAACCTTAACCCACCGCACCACCATGACTCCTTATATTCCATACAAGCATCAGTATATCCAGAGAAGGATCCAATTTTGTATGTTAGAAACAGTGCTGTGCTAAAAACCTCACTCCCAATTTTACAACGGAAGTCAACAAGAAAATAGGGCAGGTGATAAGACATTGGTTTCATGGGTCTTTCCTAAAAGACTTCTGTTTCTAAAAGGCAGGTAGGCAGTCATCCTGACGACACTCTGTCTGACTTCATCCAACCCCTGGGTTCCAGAATGACCACACTGACACTGACTGTAGCCCATATAAGTTCTTCCCTGGTGGCCGACACCTTCACAGACTCGAGGACAGAGAGCAGCTGAAGAGAAATAAACATCACTAAGGGGCTTTTCTAAAAGCAATGGCAGGACCCTAACCTGCCATAAATGAAGTTCCGGTGCATGCCATCAGGTGGAGGGAAGTTAGTTACAGAAGGACTATGATCTTGCTCATACAAAATCAATAAATAGAAACCAAGGATTGTTAGTGGTTACAAAGGGTGGGAAGAAGTGGGGAAATGGGAGAATTTGCTAAGGGAACACTGAGTTTATGTTAATGATGGAGAAGTTGGAAAAGGATAGTGACAATGACTATACAAGCTGAAGAATACACAATGCCACCAAATCACACTTATAGGAACTAATGAGATGTGTATGTTTTGTTATACAACTGCTGTTGTTGATGTTAAGTGCTGTCGAGTCTGTTCCAACTCATAGAGACTCTGTGCAGGCTTTCTAAGGAGCAGCTGGTGGGCCTGAAACCCTGACTTTGTGGCTACCGGTCCAGAGTTTATCCACCAGCAACACTCTAGGACTCCTCATTTATTGGCTATCTTGCTATTCAACAGATTTAATTGATAACAATGGTTTGGAAATCTATGATCCAACTGTTTTATACATAAATGACATCTACCTGACAGTAAGGAACGGCAAGGTACAAGACAAGAGCAACATGGTAACACAGACATTTACATGGGATAGAAAGGAATATTGGGAAAGATGATCACAGAAACCTGGTAAGCCTGTCTTCAGCCTCTAACTGATTGCATTAGCTAAAAGGGTATGCGCATGTGCCTATGGAAACAGTCGTCTTGTTAAAAGCCTTTGTGGAGTATGGGGCCTTAGGTGGCATCCTGAGTCCCACCAAGAACCTTCTGAGGCGGGACATTTCCAATTGAAAAGACATGTAGACCAACCCAGAACAGCTAAAAGAACAGAAGATATTTCTAGAAAGAAAGACCATCAGAGGAGGGGGCGAAGGTGGGGAAGCAGACTGTTTGGCTGTGTATCAAGCAAGCTGTTTGCCTTGAAGCAACCAAGGCAAGAAAAATCAGCCCATCAGGGTAAACCCCTTTCAAAGATTGAAACTCTGAAACTCAAAGGGAACACACGCACAGTCTAGGATGTTTCTGGTCAACTTGTGAGTAGAAGTCAGGGAAATGCAGCAAAGAAGAAATGGGCTGAAATTGGCTGTATTCCACAGATGCCCAATGACCTTGAGATGAGCGAGACAAGAGGATGGGCTGGCTGGTATGAAGTTACGGAGACAAGTGAACAAACCCCTGAGCTAAAGGACACTAACCTAGCCACTGGGGGGCTAGAGTTAAGACTGAAGCAATCAGATGGTCTGAAGAAGGGGAAGGCATGCGAGAACCCCCAAACTCGCAGACAGAACCCATTTGACCTAGCTTGGATGGCTTGCCGACCCGAAGTCAACCAGATGAAAATAAAGAAGTATGATACAGGGAATGTGCATAAATGACTACAACCTGGTCAACTGGACTTTTCCTTACAGATGAAGCTGCCCAGAATTCCAACTGAATATGGAAGGGTTTTCCATACCAAGGATCAACCATGACTCGTCAGTACACTGGGCTTATAGGGATGGGCAACTCAGCCTTCAGCTACCAAAATTGGGGGAATATAAAGGCACAAAATGACTGGCTTACAAGCTTTCATGTCAGAATGAGGGGAGTAAGACGGAAACACTGGACCAATAAATAACATCATGATAAACGGAGAAAAGATGTTGTCAAAGACTTCTTTTAGCTTGGATCCACTATCAACACTCATGGAAGCAGCAGTCAAGAAATCAAACGATGTACTGTAACGGCAAATCTGCTGCACAAGACCTCTTTAAAGTGTTCGTGAGCAAAGATGTCGGTGTGAGGACTAAGGTGCACCTGACCCAAGCCATGCTATTTTAAGCACCTTTATATGCATGTGAATGTTGGACAATGAATAAGGAAGACTATAGAAATATTGATGCATTTGAGTTATGGTGTTGGAGGAGAATATTAAAAGTGCCATGGACTGCCTGAAGAACAAACAAATTTGTGTTGGAAGAAGTATAATAGCCAGAGTGCTCCTGGAAAGCCAGGATGGCAAGACTTGAGCTCTCATACTTCAGGCATAGTTTAAAGTGGAGGGTCAGAGAGAAAGAGGAAGATCCCCAATGAGATGGATTGGCACAATGGCAGCAGCAATGGGCTCACGTTCTAACTCCGATTGTGAGGATGGTGCAGGCCCAGGTAGTGTTCTGTGCTGATATGCACAGGGTCACTATGAGTTAGAATCGACTACATGGCACCTAACAACATCGTATTTATGGAAAGCTAGTTTACAGAAGACCCTCACTGAGATCAATTGTCGCAGTGGCTCAAATCTAACAACTGTAAGGATGGCGCATGACATGGCAGCAATGTGATTAGAAACTGACTCAGTGGCACCTAACAACAATAAATATTGGACTCTCTGAGCTTTATTCTCATAGTAAGTGAACTGGACATTTGAAAGAAGGGAAAACAAACAATGTGGGGATATACCATAAAGTAAAGGATACTTTGCTAGTAACTAACGGCCCCCTGGCTTTGTGTATAACCTGGAAATTTCTGAACCAAATCACAGTGATTTCTAAAATACAGAGAGGCCAAAAGCTAGGAAGCAAAGGAACCTCAGCTAAGAGAAAGAACCTCCTAATGGGAGCTATCAGTCCCTTACACACAAGTCATTGCTTCTGCAAATTACCCTGTTTAGTTTCTTCCCACTATTTTAGGACAACATTAATTACTAGGAAGCAAGTAGAGAAACAAGTGCTGGGGACAAGAATCTGTTTGGTGACAGCCATGCCCAAAATATTTTTCTAGGGTAAATATATCAACTGTCCTTTAGCTGTCCGAAAAATACACTGGCTATTTGCTACAATAAAAAACCAGAGTGACATTTGTGCTTATAAAATGTTTTTTTTCTGAAACCACTTCCTTGCTTCCCTGAAGCCCTCCCAGAAAGAAGCAAGTGGAGGCTTAGTCACAGGTCAGTGTTCATGAAGCAGGGGTGTTAGCTGTGTGCTTGGACCTGAACCCCAGGAGGAAGAGTAAAGAAGCTGGCTGGTGAAACCGGAGTGGCTCAAATCAACAAGGGGAAATTCAACAAGGAGAGAGTGTTTTCTTTCTTTTTTTAAATGGAAAACTACACAAACACAGAATATAAAGATCTATTAAAGAAAAGCATCAACTTGAGGGGGAACAGGGGGAAATTAAGAGGTCCACAGGTGTCCGTGCATGATGTGATAAAGCTTCCCAAGAGCCCAGGTGATGGGCGATGGTTCAGGCATTTCCCCACTGTGTTCAGAGCTCTTCAGACCACATGAGCTTCTGGAAATTCTCTTTGAAAAGAATCATCTATCAGAAAAGAGCATCCAAAGGTTAAAGGGACTTGAAACATTTCATTTTGAGAAGAGAGGATTGTTTGGCATGGGAGGGCCACTTGGATATCTCATTAACTGTCATGGAGACAAAAGTAGTTCATCTCAAAGAACTTTCACCTCCAGGAATACATGAATCAATTCACATAATGTACTCAAACGGGTATCTGGTCTATAATAAGAGCTAACTGAGTACTACTTTGACTAGTAATCAATAGTAATCTCCTATTTTTGATTGGTGACACCAGACTATTCTCTAGCATTCTAAGTGGCATGAGTATTAGGTTGAATCATATGAAATTACTGTTTTCCAAATCCTAAAACAATCAAGTAATGGCAATCTGATGTTCTGACTAGAGAGAACCAATGGACAGAAACTGTAAACTTTAGTGTCAAAAAATGGGTTGGGATGTTTAAAGTCACTGTAAGGATTCAGGTCAAGTTTCCACAAGGCCCACTCCTGAGGAGTGCTAGGGAAGAGAGTCTCTAGCTTGGGTGGGAGATAAGCTTGATCAGAACCAGCTCTGGCATGACTTCCAGGGGACATAGTGGCTGTAAAGTGCCATGCTCTGGAAACTTCTGAGGCCATTTTGGGCCTAAGAGGAAAGATGCAGAGGAAAGATCCTGATTAAGTCTACTATGAGTATGATAAAGAGAATAGGGGTTCAACTGCCAGAATTTGGAGTTGATGACACAAAATAATCCCTCCCAACTCAAGACTGATTTTGACCCCACTTTAAAGTCTCTGCTCATGAAGAGGACATCTAGGCAGAATTTCAGGTCATGTGCTTATAAGTGCACACCACAACCTAGACCCCTAAACACATTTTGGACAACAAAGATCTATCTTTGTATCAGCATGGTTTCAGCTGTCTGCTTGAATCTGACACAAACTCAATGTCAAGCAGATGTCTGTGCTCAAAAATCTGTGAGGCACAGTCTGGAAGAGTGGAAATATTCTCTTGTGGCTGAGAAGTGAGAACCAGGGGACTGATTCAGGATTCTGGCATTCTATTCCTAGCATCATCACTGACTCACCATGTAACCTTGGACCAAAGTATTGAGCTGTCAGGACCAACCCTCCCTCCTCGGAATGAAACTAGGACAGGCGAGGTCGCTGATGATTCCCATTCTTTCTGTTTCCAACACGTGCCTAAAGTGGGGACACTGCCTATTCATCCCAGACAAAAGATCATAATTATCTCTCTTTGAGCACCAAGTGGATTTAAAAATTTTTTATTATAGGGCTCTTTGTGAATGTCCCCCATCCATATTTTAAAAACTATTATTCCATGAAACATTTCATACTAATCTGCAAAAATTTTTAACACATTTTCCAAACTTAATGGCATAGCAGAAGTATTTCTATCAGCAGTGCCTTAAGAGTTATGGAGAACATACGGTAAAACCTTGATTAACCAGAATAGAGAATCCTGGCTAATGGAACTGTCTGTCTCACTATACGTTGAACAGAAGAGTCTTTTAGGCTCAAAAGTATCATGAGATCTCTTTGTAAATCCATGTGTCTTTGTAGGTCAATTCTAATGAACAAAGCCAAATCATTAGTGATTTAACATACAGGGATTTGGGCAGGGGTGGGAAGTAGACATCAATTTAAAGAACAAATTCCAGGATTTCATTAATAGGTACAGGAAATAACATAAGGGGTTTAGGAAATCGATTTGAGCTATTTTATGTCTCAGATACAAGCACAATTTTTTTAAAAAACTGAATTAACTAAATGTTCAAAAGTCATCAAGAAATTTGGTACTCAACATAATCTGATCAAGACATTGCCTTGTGCATTAAGCTAATTTGCATGGAAGTCCTATTAGGCTGAATAATTTAATATACTTTGGAAATGAATGCCAGAGAACAAGTAAACTCAACATACACTCACCTGTATATTTAATAAATTTTTCTTTGGTACGTGATTATTACTATGTGCTTGATGCTACTAAGTACCATGTTGGACAGAAATGAGAAGGAGACCCTCTACTTTCATAATACGTGTTTGCGATGTCAAAAAATACCTTAAAAGAAGCATTAAGCAATCACTTTCTCCTCCCCCAAAGTCCCAATTTCAAAATGTGAAGGTCTAATTTCCAATTTCAAAATCCCCCTGATGTGACTTGTTAGGTGCTTCCTCCTCACCTCTTCCAGGAGCCTCTGTTTGAGCTCTCGCTCTGTCTCCAGCTTCTGCTGTAAGCTCCGGGCATTCATTTCAAGCATTGCGTGCTTCTTTTCCAGGTCATTGAGCTGGACATTTGGAAAAATTGGCCATGACACTACATTGAGAAACGTTAGATGCTAACAACGTATATAAATATCCACACATCTTAACGTATAAAGAAAATTCAAGTTCTCAAGGTCAGAAAACAAATGCTGTTGCTTGGAAAAGTATACCACAAAAATTCATGTCATCAGTCAATCTTCCATAGGTTGTGATGTGAAGACAAGGAATCATCCCAATGGATGGGTCATATGTAGAGCTGTGACAAGGTCTAAGAGGATGACTGCTCAAGTACTTATCTTCGCTGAAATGAATTAATCTTATGCTGAATGCTTACTATATGCACAGCACGGTATCAGGGGCTTTGGGCAATGAAATGATGGGCAAGCTATGGCAAGCAACGTGCAATGAATCAGAAAGGTAGAGGGGAGCCCATAATTAGGCATGTACCTAAGTAATGACTCTTGGAAGCAGCAGTTAAAAAAATTGAATGACATACTGCATTAGGCAAATCTGCTGCACAAAACCCCTTTAAAGTGTTGAAGAGCAAAGATGTCAGCTTGAGGAGTAAAGTGCACCTGACCCAAGCCATGGTATTTGCAGTAACCTCATATGCACGCAAAAGTTGGACAGTGAATAACAAAGATCGTAGAAGAACTGATGCACTTGAGTTCTGGTGTTGGAGGAGGAGAATATTGAAAGAACCATGGGCTACCAAAAAGAATAAACAGATCTGTGTTGGGAAGAAGTGCAGCCAGAGTGCTCCATGGAGGCCAGGATGGCCAAACTTCGTCTCTCATACTTTGGACATATTATCAGTAAGGACCAGTCACTGGAGAAGGATATCATGTATGGTAAAGGGGAGGGTTGAAGAAAAAGAGGAAGACCCCCAACAAGATGGATTGGCACAGCGGCAGCAGCGATGGCTCAGGTGTAGCAACAATTGTGAGGTTGGAGCAGGACCAGGCAGGGTTTCATTCTGTTGTGCAGAGGGTAGCCATGAGTCGGAACCAACTTGATGGCACCTAACACCACCATGTTTAAGAAGTCTGATTGACCGAGAAATGATATCATCAAGTACGGTAATGCCTGGAGGCTTCAAGAATGAATAGGCCTTGGCTATAAAAGAATTTAGCAATAGTCAAACAGAAACAATTCTTCTTCATGTTAAACATAAAAGTTTCATTTACTTGTAAATAAAAAGATTTCTTTCCTATGGCTAAAAACAAAACAAAACATGGTAAGCCAGTCTCAAGGAACTCTATCCTTGAATCCAATCATACTACTTCTATGTATTTCTTATAAGGAAATAATTAGGGCTATCTGGTAACGTAGTGGTTACAAATTGGGCTGCGAACCCCAAAGTCAGCAGTTCGAATCTACCAGCCGCTCCGTGGGAGAAAGATGAGGCTTTCTGCTCCCATAAAGATTTACAGCCTTGGAAACCCTGTACAGGGTCGCTATGAGTCGGAACCGACTCCATGGCACACAACAACAACAACAACATCCAATATTTACATCCATTACAGTGTTAAAGGCAAAAAATTGAAAGCAGCCTAAATTTTCAACTGAAGTGGAATGATTAGATATATCTGTATAATGCAGTTGATTTTTTTTTAAATTACATGTTCAAAAAAGTTTAAAGATAAATGTAAAATACATTATAGTTGTTGTTGTTAAGTGCTGTCGAGTCAATTCTGACCCACAGCGACCCTGTATAGGATTTCCAAGGAGAAGCTGGTGAGCTTGAACCACCACCTTGCAGTTCAAACAACTTTGTAGTCTGACGCATTAGCCCACAGCGCCACACCAGGACTCCTTATATACAGGGCCCTAGCTCTGGTAGCATAGTGGTTATGAATCGGGCTGCAAACCTTAAGGTCAGCGGTTCGAAACTACCAGCTGCTCCGCGGGAGAAAGATCAGGCTTTCTACTCCCGTAAAGATTTACACCCTCGGCAACCCTGTACAGGGTCGCTATGGGTCGGAACCGACTCGACGGCACTTAACAACAACAACAACTACATATATAAAGGAGCTGTGGTAGCACAGTGGTTACAAATCAGGCTGCGAACCGCGAGGTCAGCAGTTTGAAACTACCAGCTGTTCCATGTGAGAAAGATGAGGCTTTCTGCTCCCGTAAAGACTTACAGCCTCGGAAACCCTGTACAGGGTCGCTACGAGTCGGAACTGACTCCATGGCACGTAACAACAACAAACATATATAAGGAGCTTTGGTAGTGTAGTGGTTACGAATCGGGAGAAAGATGAGGCTTTCTGCTTCCGTAAAGATTTGCAGCCTTGGAAACCCTGTATAGGGTCACTATGAGTCGGGACCAACTCCACGGTATTTAACAACATTTAACAACTACATATATACATTTCCGAGGAGCAGCTGGTGAGCCTGAACCACCCACCTTGCAGTTCAAATGGCTTTGCAGTCTGGCACATTAACTCACAGTGTCACACCAGGACTCTATAGTGTTTCCTTGGAAACCCTATACAGGGTCGCTAGGGGTCGGAATTGACTCAAAGGCACTTAACAACAACAACAACAATATATACACATATATAGTAGGACCCTAAATTTTAAAAAAACGTATATGGGTAAATAATATAAAACTGGGATTCCAGTTCATACATGTATGGGTTTAATCCAAACAAAATCTGTTTAAATGTGTCTCTGATCAGTGGTATATACAAACAAGTTCTCTCAGGAAAACACATGTATTAGCGTTGTTAGGGTGCCTTCAAAAACACAAGGGTCCATTAAAACAGTGACTTTCTAAGGGATCTGCTGAGCCAGGTGAATTTAGGGCAGAGAAGTCAGCTCAGGTTAGGACAAATAGTTTTTTGGGGATTCCAAAGGGATCATCTTAATAGACTTTCTTAAAAGACACAGGACAACTACGAGGGCTCATTATGAAGAAGTTTTAAGAAACAAAAAACATAATGGTGAAAAAAAGGCCATGAAAGATGCACCCAAGCATTTATTTCCTTCATGACTATACATCTGCTCATTCTTTGAGGGTAGCAAGGGTGTCCTACCAGAATTTCATTGGAAAACCTTATCCCATCCACCCTCCTGCCCTGATCTTGCCCCTTCAGGCTTCTTTTTGTTCCCTAAACACAAAGAACATTTAAAAGGAACATGATTTGAGTTCCTGGGGGGATGCCAAAACTGCTGCTTTGCCGTGATGTGAATTGAAGAGTACCGAATTCTTGGGGGAAGGGGTAGAGAGCTGGAAACAGTGCCATTAGAAATATATAAACCTAGATGGAGGAGATGTTGAGAAACAACACCCTCATGGTGGTGGTGGTAGTTGTGGGCCGTGGAGTCAGTACCAACTCAAAGTGACCCTGTGTAGGGTTTCTGAGGCTGTAAATGTTTGTGGGAGCAGAAAGTCTCATCTTTCTCCTGCGGAACGGCTGGTAGTTTCAAAATGCTGACCGACTCATAACCACTATGCTACCAGAGCTCCTTTAATAGTCTCCTATTTTGGTATGTTTATTTAATAAAGGTTTCTATGATTTTGTGGCAATACTTTTTTGGCTTACCCTTGTATTTATGTATGCGCATAAATCCATATATGCGAAATTGTGTAGGTGCAAAGAGAAGACTATAAATAAATGCACCAATATAACAGTAGTGATGAATTGCAGTCTGCCTTTTTTTTTTTTTAAATAACTTTTCAGTGGCTTCTTAATCTTCTATAGTGACCCCAATTAACTACTTTTCTTTTGTGGCTGTCGTACTGAAAGGCCCAGTCCAAATGCTCTTTCAAAGCTATCAGAGAGAATCTCCCCTACACTGCTGCATCGTTCTATACCTACAACATGGCATGCAGACATGGATGCTCTTACTGCTGTTCAGTGTCACTGAATCAGTTCTGGCTCATAGCAACTCTCTACAGGCTTCTAAGGCTGAAAGCAGAAAACCCCGTCTTTCTCCTGAGGGAAGCCTGGTGGATTCAAACCGTTGACCCTGGGGTTAACAGTCCAATGTATAATTCACTATGTCACCAGGGCTCCCGGTGACATGGATGATGCTGTTATTCAGTGCCATCGAGTTTGTTCTGACTCACAGTGACCTTGTAAAGTTTCCAAGGAGTGGCTGGTGGGTTTGAACAGCCCCACTTTGTACTGAGCAGTCCTTAGGCTTAGGCTATCGTGCTACCACAGGACCCCAGCAACAGGGCTAGAGCCCGAGTATTTCCACCGTGAAACACCGAGGGCTTGGCTCCATCATCAGACCCTGGTGTGTCACTGAACTTGGAACATGGAGAAGCTCAGCTAACTCTTACTGCAGCCATGCTGATGTTGTTAAATGCTGTTGAATTCGGTTCTGACTCACAGTCACTCTATATGAGTAGAGCGTTTCCAAGGAGTGGCTGGTGGGTTTGAACTGCCAACCTTTTGGTTAGCAGTCCAGGACTTATCCTTCAGCACCACACCTGGACTCCAACCATAGAATGACCAATTTACCATTGATGCCTGACATTAATTAAGTCTAAGCATCTAGAAATCAAAGCCAAGAATGAGTCAGTATTCACACTTCAGGGCCCAGACAGGTAGATGTTAAGTTACTGACCAACCATGAAAGTCCAGTGCCCACCATGCCCCCCCATGCTAATGCTAACCAAGGATGCCCATGATGAAGCACCACTGTGCAACCTTTTTGCAATGACCAAGCAGATCCTAATGAAATATGTTCACTATGGACAGCATGTGAACTTGCCATGCATGCCTTCAAAAAGAAGGCTGTGAGAACATTTTCCTAAAAGTCAGAAGGGACGGGTGTGGACCTTGTCAGAGAGGCTCTCGGCCTTCAGCTTCTGCTCCTTGAGAGCCTGCTGGAGGGCAAGGATCTCCGCCTTGTGCTCCTTCACTGCCAGCTCCACTACTTGACGCGACTCGGTGATGCGCTGGTCGGCTCTCGCCCTGCCGGAAAGATAGAGAGGCCTGCTTTCAGAAGCCGCTCTCCCAAACCCACACTGAGCTGGAAGAGGGAAGCTGCCCATCTCTAACACTGACACGCAGCCAACCCAGTTGATACCTAGTTTCCAAGTAGCTCTTCTTTTCAGACAGTTCACAGAGCAGAGATCTGACCCACTTTCAGCCCTGGGGAAAACTACCCTTGGTACAAGATATAGTTCCTGTGGACACTCGTGTGGAATGGTTTGGGGAGTAGGGTGAGGGGAACAATCCTAAATGCAACTGGCTACATAGGACATGTGAAGACTGCCCGTCCTCCCCACAGGAAGCAGAAATGCATGGCATGCCCCAGCTCACTAAGGGACCAAGGGCATAGAACACCAAGGGAGGCCCTCTCCACAAAAACATTTGATGCAAGAAGTGTTCTGGGAGTGTGGGCAACTGAACCTCGACTCTGATGATGTATCTCTACAAAAGTTTGTGTTGTTAACTGTCATACAGTCAGCCTCTGACTCATGGTCAGGTCATTGTGCCCCATGGGGTCTTCAAGGGCTGGTTTTGGGAAGGAGATCACCAGCCTTTCTTCCTAGTCCATCTCAGTTTGGAGGCTCCACTGGAATCTGCCCAGCATCACAGTGACACGCAAGTCAGCACTGACATAGGACTGGGTGAGTGCATTTGCTGGGAACTGGACCTGGATCATCTATACGTAGTTGTTAAGTGCCATCAAGCAACCCTGTATAAAGTTTCTGAGGAGTGGCTGGTAGGCTTGAACCACCTATCTTAGCAGTCCAGTGCTTACCCTACAGTGCCACGCCAGGATTTGGGTCTCCCATATAGAATGTAATAATTCTACCACTGAGTTACCACTTCCTCAAATGATAAGTCATTTAGAGAAAAGAAAAACAAGATCAAAACTAGGAAATTTATGCATTACGTTTTCCCACTTGCACAACTTATATGAGTGGATTTCAAAAAGTTTGTGGATGTGATGTAGTGAATTATTAATATGTCTCTTCTCTCTTATTCTGTGTAACTGGCGCCACACGATTCTTTTCCTGCTGGGTCTGGGTGAGAGAAGGTGGGAGATGATATTGACAGATGACATGATTCAGCTGTGGGTGTTCACAGAGGTTATTATAAAAACTTGAAACTCTAATGGGGATAAATGAGGCGTCACAGCAGCAAGAGGGGGTGGGTCTCACTGCCACTTAAAAAGAGGAGCCAGGAGTGGAGCACAGCCTTTGGACCCTGAGATCCCTGTGCATTGACCCTCCTGAAACCAAGGAAAGAGAGCTGTGATGTTGGAGGAGCGGCAGAGGAGCAACTCAGAGCACCAGACAGAGCAGCGGGCTTTCAATGCCACAGAGCAAGTAAAGCTGAGTGCCTGAGAGGCTCTCCTGACTGGAACAATTTCAGACCTCAACTGTAGCCTGCCAACTTCCCTCAGAACCCCTGCAACCATGAGGATGGTGTCTGAGTTATGTGTGGTCATCGCAAAAGAATACTCAAACTCAGAATGAGCAGCAAGCATTAAGGGAAAGATGGTTGGCACCATTTTTTTTTTTTCAGTGGACAAGACAAATGGCATCAAACAATACTGGAAGTTTTCCACAAAAATGTTGAAGTCCCCTCATGCTTTCTCCTTCACTGGGAGTACTCGCCTCCCCTAGTGAACAAATTCAAAGGGGGTTCAACCTTCAAGGCTTCACTCAACTGACATGTCCTCCATAAAGCCTTTCCCAATTCTTCCTCTCAGAAGTAACCTCTTCTTGCTTGCTACCCCCAAACATTAAATATATTCCTCTCTCTAGGTGGCAAATATTTCAACAAAAGTTCATCTCCTCCACTAGACTCTTCACCTTTTGAGGACAAGAACTGAGGATTATCTCAGTATCGTACCCAATACACCAAGACAGAAAAGAAAGCCAAAGTCTTATTCAGTGCTGTTAGTGAAGCACACACCATCGTTCCATCTTCCATGTGTGTTTCTTGATTCTGCAGTCAGATTCCTGCCCCCAAAGTATCCTAAAAAAAGCTGGGAGAGGAGCTGGGCTGGCAGACAGCAAGGAAGAGGGCTGGTGTGAGAGCAGCCAGAACGTAGAGTGAGGACCAGGGGAGACACCAACAGGGGCAGTAACAGGAGTCTTTAAATCAGCAACCTACTGCATCCTGAGTGGGAAGATGGCCCAAAAGGGATGCTGCTCAACAACCTTCAGTGCACAGGAAGGTCCCCACAATAAATAATTCGCTGGACCAAAATGTCAACAGCGCACTGGTTGAAAAAAATCTTGTGTCAAGGATGGACTAGCCTTACGTATGGCTAAGAATGCTACAAAGTTACAGTTGTAAGAAACCAGATGAAAATTTCTATTAAAAAAACAGGTTCTTTCTCAGCTCTAACTCCCAAGGTTCAGCACACGGTAAATGGACACCAGCTACTGCCACAGAATTAGACACTGGCCATATTCCACAGCTAGGGTGACCAGCACTGAACCTCTCACATTCAGGAAACCTCTGGCTCCTAGGCCAGCAGGGCGATCACCCTGCTTACAGCAGGCTATGGCTGTAGTACCCGCCACTAGCTCCCCACAGAATGCAAGTCCCACCTGCTCTGCTTCTCAGTGTCCAGCATCCTCTGCAGCTCTCGCACCCGACACTCAAACTGGGACTTCTCGTCACCGAGGACGCTCCTCCACGCCTCCCACTGCCGCTCCTTCTCCAGCAGCTCGTCGTTCAGGGCCTCCAGGTCCATGACCTGCTCTTCCAGCATTGTGCACGTGGTCTTCAGCGCCTCCATCGTCTGCAAAGCAGTACCACTGAGTTGTGCCTCACACACATGAGGACTTCCTGGATATGCCCCTGTCAGACCAGGGTCGTAGAAGCACATGCTTCTCACTAAAGTCTGAGATACCAGCTATCTTTGTCTTCTACAGTCCCAGGGGCTGCAAGAGAGTGGATGCAGAACCCAGGGCACGGCCAGACGGAGACCAACTTTAAAAACAAAGTGCACATACTGGCCTCCCGAAGCATTCTACTTTCAAATTTAAAATTCATTCCAAAGATTCAAGTTAAAAAGGAATACACACTTTCACAGAAATTTTTTAAAGCCCCACACCCTTCAAGACACACAAATGATTGTAGAAAGAGCCCATTCCCTGGACAGGCTTGTTTTTGGAGCCCCTGGGAGAGATGCACCAGGCCACCACCATCACGGTCTCAAGGCGACCCCATGTGTCAGGGCAGAGCTGTGCGCCTCTGGGGTTTTCTATGGCTGACTTCTCGAAGTAGAACACTAGGCCTCTCGTGGGCTACTGTGGGTAGGTTCAAGTCACTAACCTTTTGGTTAGCACCCAGTACATTGAGTATTTGCCCCACGCTGGCCCATGTGCCAGGTACTCGTTCAATAATCTGAAGGGGATCAAAGTCTTGCATGGCTTCCTAGCATCGTTCATCATCCTTACTTGCTTCTGGCTAGTGAGTTGCATCTCCCGCTCGCTGATTTCCCGGCGGAGATGGTCCACTTCACTTCGCAGTTGCACAATCTCATCATTGGCACCAGAAGCCTCATCCAGTTGTTTGGACAAGTAGAAGTTTTGGTTGTTGAGCTCAGCATTGTCCTCTGTCAATTGATTTAGCTGCTCTTCTAGATCTGTGATTACCTGAAAGAGGAAGGGAACGTGTTTACCCACCAAGCCAACCAAAATTCAAAACAACTGCCATCAACACAATTCTGACTCAGCAACCCTAAAGGACAGAGTAGAACTGACCCGGAGTGTTTCTGAGATTGTAAATCCTTACGGGATCAGACAGCCTCATCTTTCTCCCATGGAGTAGCTGATGAGTTGAGTTTGAACCACCAGCCTTACTATTAGCAACCCAATGCTTAACCCACTGTGCCACAAGTGCTTCTTCACACTAAGCAATTGACATGTAAATGCGAAACTGCTTCAAGAAGCCACGGATCTTTGAAGTGATGTGAATACCAGCAATCAGTGTGCAGCTCAAGAGTTTGCACATCCAGCCCTGAGAGCCAAAGCCAACCTCCCACTCACATACCCACTGAGCTCTAACACACACACACACACACACACACACACACACACAGTGTAAGGGAGAAAAAGGGGCAGGGAGTCTCGATTTCTCTATCTGGAAAATCATGGCAACTGCAAATCAAACAAAAGTGACTGCTGTCACACAGGGGCAGCCTCGAAACAGATCAAGTTAAAGGACGATAGCATAAAGTGGAAGATTCAAATTCAGGCAAGAGAAGAGATACAGACACTGACATCACAATCAGCTAATTAAGCCAAAGATATGCACAGTACCATCCCTGAACTCTATCTAGAGCTGAACAGAGTCAGAGCCTCAGAAAGTCAGATGAAGCTTGTATTAAGGCAGGCTGACAAGGCAGGCTGACAGTGAGGGGCACTAAGAGCTATTTTAACACAATCATGGGCAGTAAATTAAATTTCACGCAACAACGCAGAGAAAAACTTGAGGGAAGTGCGAGAGAGTCCTGTGGATACCACGCTGCCTATGGCATCGCTCTACCTCGTTCTACCATCCAGTCAGTGATCCGAAGTCAGCACACATAGGAAACTGTCGTTTTACTGAGAGAGATTTCACTTGGTTTTGCTAAATGATTTCCCTAATCAGTGGTAGAATGACTTCAATTTCAGCGCATCCAGCTTTCCTATCTCTCTGCTGAGGTTCAGTGTCAACTTGTATAGAGAGCTTTCAGAGCTAATACTTCAGAAGCTTAAGGGCAATTTTCTATTAATAGGTGGAATGAGGTACACAGGCAGTAAATTCAATTTTATGTAACAAAAGAAGTAAATTAAAAGGAGAGGCTTTTAAGACTATAGTTATTAATTGTTTCCCATTTATAGTTAATAAATGTTGTTATTGTTTCAACAACTGATGCCCTGTTTTAAGTTCTTGATAACTGACCGGGAGTAGGGGGTGGCATGTAGGGGTGGGGGGAGTCTTCCCAGATACACAAATTCAAAGAACGTTTGTTCAATGTGACTAAGAAAACCAGATTTTCATTTTGTTAACTGAGTTGACACCCTTTTAATGTAGTAAATGGGTTAGTAATTGATTTGTTTAATGTCAAAAGTCCCGTTAATTCCTCGTGTGCTGGCCTGATGAACACTGGCAGCTACCAGCAGGTGTATACAGTCTATAAGGCCGGGCTCTTAGCTACGACTCCTCCTGTGTCATGAGGGAAATAGAAAGTACCACAAATCTCACCTATTATCACCGGTTTTCTGGGATATGGCTACATCTCCTAAAATCAGACACGATGAATAAAGGACTTTTCCAACTGGCCTCCCTTCTACTTGTCGTAAACTCACTCCTGAGAAGAGTTTTCCATCACAGACTGGGTAAGTCTCCACTAACAACTGGGTTTAACTTCTACTCCTTTCTCAAAGAGAAACACGACACAACTAGGGCAAGGAGCCTAGCAGACATGCTATAAATTGTGTTCTGGTCCCACCCATGCCAGAATCCTGCATCAGCCACCCTGAACCTTTCTGCAACAGTAACACGTGAGCAATACTACTAGATTAACTACCTGGTGTTTGTATTTTTACATTAAAAAAAAAATTTTTTGTTTACTATTCTACCTTAACATCTTGTTGTTTATGGTTACGTGCCTTCGAGTTGGTGCTGACTCATAGTGACCCTGTATAGGGTTTCCAAGAAGCGGCCGGTGACTTTGAACTGCCGGAACTGTGGTTCACACTAACCTCACAATCCACATTATCCTGCAGCACCACACTTTAATGTAACAGGCACAATACAAGGGTGATCCATAAAAATGAGTGACCGAGATAATGCTTCATTTTAAAGACTATAACGGAAGCTTCTCAGAGAACAGAGATCTGCAGCAATCTATTCACATGATAATATATACATTGCCAAAATAATCTGTCCTTCAGACAGATTTAAGCTTTCTCTGATTTATGGTAAAAAGAAAAAAAGAAATGCAATTTATTATGAGCCCATTTCTGCCACCTTGTCTCTTGCCAAAATTAGATTACTGAGCACTGAACAGTCAGTGGCATCAGATGACTTCTCCTCACTCCAATAGATACGTGCAGATTGAGCGGGCAGGGCCCGTCTAATTCCTTGTCACCACCAGGTGTCCAGGGGCTCACTCTCCTTTCGCTTCTCAGGTTCTGACGGCTGGTTCTGCATGTGCTCACTGTTTCTATTTCATCCAACGACAAGAAGATTGTGGGCTTGGGTAAAATCCACCACACAGACTCATTAGGACTTTTTCTGTATGCTGTCTTTCTGAGCAGACAGATCCTGTTCTTTTTAGTTGCTGGAGTTTTGTTATTAAGTGTTCGATACCACCACCACCCCCACCCTGCCCCTCCACCCCCCCCACACCTACTAAGTTAACAGATAGTAAACATGACTTGCCATCACTCATCTGTCATTTTCTCGTACTATGGTGGCTTGTGAGTTGCTGTGATTCTGAAAGCTATGCCACCGGGTGGTCACCCATGGTGGACAGGTTTCAGATGAGCTTCTAGACAAAGACAGACTAGGAAGAAGTAATGATGAACTACTTCTGAATATTTAGTCACTGAAAACCTTATGAATAGCAGAGAAACACTGTCAGATATAGTGACAGAAAATGAGCCCCTCAGGTGGGAAGGCACTGAAAATGCGACTGGGGAAGAGCTGCCTCCTCAAAGTAGAGTTGACCGTGATGATGCAAACGGAGTAAAGCCCGTGGGGAAAAAGCCCACGGGAACTTCATTTGCTGATGGGGCACAACTCAAAATGAAGAGAAACAGCTGTAAACATTCACTGAAAATCTGAACATGGAATGTATGAAGTATGAATCTGGGAAAACTGGAAGTTGTCAAAAATGAAATGGAATGCATAAACATTGATATCTTAGGCATGCTTTACTATGCCGGAATGACAAATTGAAGAGGAATGGTGCTGCAGTCATTGTCAAAAAGAACATATCCAGATCAGTCATGAGGTACACTGCTGTCTGTGATAGGATAATATCCATGTGCCTACAGGGCAGATCAGTTAATATCACTATTATTCAAATTTATGCACCAACCACTAAAGCTAGTGAGGACCAAATACAAGAATTCTACCAACATCTTCAATCTGAAATTGATCAAACATGCAATCAAGATGTACTGATCATTCCTGGTGATTTGAATGCAAAGGTTGGGAACAAAGAGGAAGGATCAATAGTTGGAAAATATGGCTTTGGTGATAGAAATGATGCTAGAGACCACATGATAGAATTCTGCAAAATCAGTGACTTCTTCATTTCAAATACCTTCTTTAGACAGCACAAGAGACAACTATACACATGGACCTCACCAGATGGGATACACAGAAATCAACTTGCCTACATATGCGGGAAGAGACGATGGAAAAGCTTCATATCATCAGTCAAAACAAGGCCAGGGGCAGACTGTGGAACAGACTATCAACTACTAATATGCAAATTCAAACAGAAACTGAAGAAAATGAAAACAAGTCCACAAGAGCCAAAATATGACCTTGAATATATCCCTCCTAAATTTAGAGATTTGAAGAACAGATTTGATACATTAAACACTAAAGACTGAAGGCCTGAAGAGTTGTGGGATGACATCAAGAACATCATACATGAAGAAAGCACAACGTCATTAAGAAGACCAGAAAGAAGGAAAAGGTCACAATGGATGTCAGAAGAGACACTCTCCAGCATAGAGATGCTAAAGCAAACAGAAGAAATGAAGAGGTACAAAAGCTGAACAGAAAATTTCAAAGATCAGCTCGACAGGATAAAGCCAAATATTACAACACAATGTGCAGAGATCTAGAGTCAGAAAACCAAAAAGGAAGAACATGCTCAGCATTTTTCAAGCTGGGGGAACTGAAGAAAAAATTCAAGCCTTGACTTTCATTATAGAAGGATTCTCTGGGCAAATTACTGAATGATGCAGAAAGCATCAAGAGAAGATAGAAGGAATACACAGAGTCACCGTACCAAAAGGAAATGGTTAATGTTCAACTGTTTCAAGAGGTAGCATATGATCAAGAGCCAATGATACTGAGGGATGAAGTTCATGGTGCATTGAAAGAACTGACAGAGACAAGGCATCAGGAATTGATGGAATAAAAATGGAAATCCTTCAAAAAAGTGAGGGGACACAGGAGGCACTCACTCATCTATGCCAAGAAATTTGGAAGACAACTATCTGGCCAACTGATTGGAAGAGATCCATATTTGTGCCCAATCCAAAGAGAGGTGACCCAACGGAATGCAGAAATTACTGGACAATCTCTTTGATATCCCATATGAATAAAATTTTACTAAAGGTAATACAGAAACAGCTGCAAGCATACATTGACAGAGAACTTCCAGAGGTTCAAGCCAGATTCAGAAGAGGCTGTGGAATGAGGGATATCATTGCTGATGTCCAATGGATCCTGGCTGAAAGCAGAGAATAACAGAAAGATGTATACCTATGCTTTATTGAGTACGCAAAGGCTTTCGATTGTGTGGATCATGACAAGTTATGGACAACATTGAGAAGTATGAGTAGTCCGGAACACTTAATTGTGCTCATGAGGAAGCTGTATGTGGACGCAGAGGTTTGAACCAAACATGGGAACACTGAAT